TAGAGATTTCGCCAGCCTCCATTGCTTCGATCTCCTTACACACAGATTCATGTAGATCTTTAAATGACCAATCGTCGGTTCCATGGTCGCGAGTGATGATTCGACGGAAATTTCCTGGAAGTTTTTCTAGGATGATAGGTATGAGGAAATCTCCGTACGAGTATTCGCTCTTTCCAAGCGCTTCCAAGCCTCTTCTGTAACTCTCCATGTTGTCGTAGAAAAACTTTAGTGAGGATAAGTCATTAGACGGTTTTGGCAATTCCCAAAGTGCTTTCATATATGCATTTCGTATTTTATGTTTCAGTCCGTAACGTTGTTTTAGTAATTCTAAGGCGTGTTTGTAGTTCTCGTTTGTCAGTTGTAATCCCTCGATTACTTTAGCCGCTTCTCCCTTTACATGTGCTCGTAGGTATTGAAACTTATTTACCTCATCCAGCATGTCGTCCTTGTCTATAGCCGCTTCAAACGTGTCAATAAAACTTTGCCAAGAAAGAATATCACCTGAAAATTCTTCGAGATCTAGTTTAGGTGGATTTACAGTTCGTCGTCTGGACGCTGAGTTGTTACTTGTGAACGACGTGCTTGACATTTCAGATGATGTCTGTGTTGTTGGCGTTGTTGGTGTATTGGCACGTTGGATGAAGTTCCTTATCTCCACGATTCTTTCTTTGATATCAATGACGTAGTGTCTGCATCAAGAAATAGATGTCGAACTCTGTTCGTCGGCTCTTTTGAGAATTTCTTCATCCAGTGCTCTGATCTGCTCCAATCTTGATGTAATATCTTCATGCATTGCGATGAGAACGTCTTTTTCATGTTGCGTCAATGGGTCATCTTTGGACATAATGTCAGTGGCTTTTTGTAACTGTCTCGTCATTTGAGCACGGTGTCCTCTTCTACTTGCAGAATGTTTAACTCGTTCTGCCATGTTTCTATGCGTTGTAGAATTTCCTCCAAAGTGCGTTGATCCTGGTCTCGGCACCAAAAATGTAGAATGTAGGGAAAGGTTCGGGTCGTGGAGTAGGGGAGACTAAGACAAGGTGTGTCTAGTTAGAACACAAAGTAGCAACTGATTTAATCGTTGAAACTAAGCATCTATATACTGTTACATGTCAATATTTGTGCAAACAGAAATTGTAGGGTAGCAGGATGTTGCATAATACTTAAGTCGTAAAGATTACCGTACATATGGTTAGCCATTCGTTCTTCTTATCTACATGTATGCTGTCAAAGACATAACTCATTTTCCGACACTCCGGGCGGGCCGGTTGAGCAGATAGATAATCGAAAGTAATAGTTAAACGAATAAGGTTATAAACAGAAATATAAAAATATATTGATACAATGTGAAATAACGAAAAATGTGACGTGGGGAGAACACTCTAATTAAACAAATAGCACAACTTGAACAAATTACAATTCGAATATTACGTACAATTACGAATATTAAAAACACAATACTATAAAACATGAACATGATACAAGTCTATGATTACATATCAGGTTATTCTACAATGAAATTTGGATTTGCGGTTGAAACACAATCTGTATCTTTTCACAAATGCATTACGTGCATCATGTCCGACAACGGTTTCACAGACGTGTGTAGAGTGAGCCCTTTGCAGTGGGCACACTTGAAGGATCTTGTGGGTTTAGCGACCGTAGATCTCGAAGATTTGTGTCCAACATGAAAGGATGTTATAGAGGGTAGACACTTTTCACTGGGGAAATTATCATTGAAGTACTCTATGGGGATACCTGCTTGTCTGGCTTGAATTTTCTTATGGGCCGCTTCCTTTAACTCGTGTAGTGACCACGCTGTGTTACCATGCTCGCGGGAAATCTGGGTTTTGACGTTTGCCGATAATTTATCAAAAATGATTGGCACAAGTAAATCACCATACGAATCCTTACTTTCACCGATGTGAGTTTGGAGATTGTCATAAGAGTTCGGCATGTTGGATAACATATTATCTGGCGGCGGTAGTTCCAAAAATGCCTTCGTGTAGCTTGAACTAATTTTGTGTTGCTGACCATACCGTTGTTTCAAAGTGGCTAGCGCTTCTGGATAGTTGGCATTGGTTAACTGGAGGCCCTCGATCATTCACGCTGCTTCACCGCCTAGTTGAGCAGTCAAGTATTGGAATTTCTGGACCTTTTCCAGCTTAGGGTCTCTATCTAGTGATGATGTGAATGTGTCAAGAAACGTAGTATATTTTGGAATGTTACCTTCGAATTTCGGCAAATACGATTTGGGCTGACCATTCGTCTTGTTGTAGACGATGTCAAGAAGGTATCATGCGTTGAGTCTGCTTTAGGTATCGATCTCTGCTGAGTGTTTCTCTCTATGAAGTTTTCGTAACGTACCACATGTTCGTTGATAATTATAGCATAATCATCCGCTTCTTCAAAGTACCGTGCGTATTCGTCTTCGTCTTCAATTTCGTCAAGTATTATTTCGTCGCATTCCTGGATGGTTTCTATGAGTTTCTTGATGTCTCTAATTGTTGTCACCATTACGTTTTTGTCTGATGCAAGGAGTTTTTTCTTTTCTCGTAATCTCTTCAGCCTTGTTGAGTTGCTTGGTCATTTGTTCTGTCTTGTCCTTCTGTTTCTTGTAAGCCCTTTGGCTTACTGTCTGTTGAGTTGCACGATCGGTAGGCATGTCGAAGGTGTCTTAGTCTTGACTGGGGACTCACGATCCTGGTGTCGGCACCAAATGTGCGCATGGGCACGTGAGTTGAGTCAGTTGCGCGTAGAAACCCGGAATAGAGAGATCGAGAAGACAAGTTCACCGTGCGGTAACAATAACTCAACAGTTTATTCGCTTCATTCGATTACATGCAAGTTACAATGAAACAACAAACAAACTACTAATAGTAACACCGGGATGTAATAGGTTGAAATAAGTGTGGGTGTGGCAACAGCAGTGGGTGTCTAATTAGGTCAGACTAACAGTCTCCACAGTGTGTCATAGACACAATAGTCAGTCAAAAGTCCTGGTTACCCTGAGTCAGTGTGCCATGGACCCAGTCACAATCAAACCAAAGCCACTGTACCCTTTGTGAGTGTGTCATTGACACCATAATCGGCCAAAAGCCAATGTACCCTGTGTGAGTGTTCCATTGACACAATAGTCGGCCTAAAGCCATTGTACCCTGTGTGTGTGTCATTGACACAATAGTCGACTGAAAGACACTGTATTATGTGTGAGTGTGTCATAGACACAATAATCAGTCAAAAGTCCTGGTTACCCTGAGTCAGTGTGCCATGGACCCAGTCACAATCAAACCAAAGCCACTGTACCCTGTGTGAGTGTTCTATTGACACTATAATCGGCCTAAAGCCACTGTACCCTGTGTGAGTGTTCTATTGACACTATAGTCGGCCTAAAGCCACTGTACCCTGTGTGAGTGTTCTATTGACACTATAGTCGGCCTAAAGCCACTGTACCCTGTGTGAGTGTTCTATTGACACAATAGTCGGCCCAAAGCCACTGTACCCTGTGTGAGTGTTCTATTGACACAATAGTCAGCCCAAAGCCACTGTACCCTGTGTGAGTGTGTCATAGACACAATAGTCGACTGAAAGACACTGTATTATGTGTGAGTGTGTCATAGACACAATAATCAGTCAAAAGTCCCGGTTACCCTGAGTCAGTGTGCCATGGACCCAGTCACAATCAGACCAAAGCCACTGTACCCTGTGTGAGTGTTCTATTGACACCACAGTCGACCCAAAGCCACTGTACCATGTGTGTGAGTGTCATTGACACAATAGTCAGTCAAAAGTCCTGGTTACCCTGGTTCAGTGTGCCATGGACCCAGTCACAATCAGACCAAGGCCACTTTACCCTTTGTGAGTGTGTAATAGTCAGTCAAAGCCTAGGTGAACTAATAATAGATGTGTCTTTGAGTGAAGCTTGGTTATGGTTTAAGATGTGTTCTGACTTTGATTGTTATAATGGTATGTAGTCCCAAGCGTGGAATATGAATTCTAATATTTAGTACTTGCACTTACATTTTGGAATTAAGTAGACACCCTATTTTACTGACTAGTATAAAACAAATGACAAAATATTGGCTAAAAATAAAAACAAAGAATGAAAACACGCTAGTCCATGAAGCACACAGACTTGGCATAGAGATGGATGGTAAAGGTATACCTAATTGGGTATCAAATCTGGTATCAAAAATATTCTGCACTATGTTGAAATTGATAAGGCATGGGAAAATAATGATCCAAATTATAACGCCAATCTAATCAACACAATTTGCATTAAACTCAAAACAGTATTTGAAAACAAGAGTCGAGAACAAATGCATGATGATAATAAAAACAAAAACCAAAAGAATAAGCTGCGCACATATAGACTGCTAAAGAAAAATTGCCAGTATGAAAATTATCTAACAACAGTAACAAATGCAAAACATAGAGCAGCATTAACAAAATTGAGAATTAGTGCCCATAATTTAGAAATAGAGAAAGGACGATACAAAAAAATTTCTTGCAGTGGAAAGTGCACTGCTTGTGACCAAAATGAGATTGAAGACGAAAAGCATTTCTTACTTGAATGCAAGCTTTATGAAAATAGAGAATTGAAATGTTGAATGAAAATAAATTTAATTAATACATTGCAACAACACAAATACTAATAAATTGATTACAATGCAAACAAGCAATAACAGACAAAAAATAACAAAACTAGCAAGCTACATGTACATCTATAATTGTTTCAGTGTCAGAGAAAATCATTTCAAAAAACTACCAGCTGCCCCTAAATAAATAAACTTTTTTTTATTCTTTTCTATTTTTGCTCTTCCATTTTGTTACTTCCTCAGTTTTTCATCTTTATTGTAATTTTCTTTTTCCTGAGTCAATATCCGAATAAGAACACAATTATGCAATAAAGATTATTATTATTATTATTTCATAAAAAACATTTAGAAAGACATCCAATACCACAGAAAATAAATAATTACATTTCTTTTTATTCTCAGTTCAACTCATGAAAGAAAAAGTAGAACCAATGTTATAATGAAAAAAGGAAGATACTATTTGAAGCATAATACAGTATCAGAGGTAAGAATCAGTCTGACATAATGGTGTTATTTGTGCAATGCAGCATTCTTCCTCTGTTTTAACAACATTTAGCAAGCTATGTAAAGCTTAGTAATACAGTAATTTGTTTTTTCATTTTCTAGGATATTCCTATTGCAATAATGTTTAAAGCAATGGGTATCGAGTGTGATCAAGAGATTGTTCAAATGATTGGGACAGAAGACCAGATATTGTCTGCCATAGCTCCAAGTCTTGAAGAGTGCCACAAAGCACAGATATTCACTCAGACACAGGTACATGTATATGTATATAAACACAAATTATGTCTTGAAGAGTGTCAGTTTATAGTTGCAGACAAGAAATTCTTTCTCAGGTGCAACAACACAGCAACTATTATCTACTTCTATCTATTGTGAACCCCCCCCCCCCTAGGCCTAAATGTTTCTATACAGTAGAGGGTGGCCTAAATGTTTCTATACAGTAGAGGATGATCTAAATGTTTATATACAGTAGAGGGTGGCCTAAGTGTCTCTATACAGTAGAGGGTGGTCTAAATGTCTCTATACAGTAGAGGGTGGCCTAAATGTCTCTATACAGTTAGAGGATTGTCTAAATGTCTATATACAGTAGAGGGTGGCCTAAGTGTCTCTATACAGTAGAGGGTGGCCTAAATGTCTCTATACAGTAGAGGATGGCCTAAATGTTTCTATACAGTAGAGGATTGTCTAAATGTCTATATACAGTAGAGGGTGGCCTAAGTGTCTCTATACAGTAGAGGGTGGCCTAAATGTCTCTATACAGTAGAGGATGGCCTAAATGTCTCTATACAGTAGAAGATGGTCTAAATGTCTCTATACAGTAGAGGGTGGCCTAAATGTCTCTATGCAGTAGAGGATGGTCTAAATGTCTCTATACAGTAGAAGGTGGCCTAAATGTCTATATACAGTAGAGGGTGGCCTAAGTGTCTCTATACAGTAGAGGGTGGCCTAAGTGTCTCTATACAGTAGAGGGTGGCATAATGTCTCTATACAGTAGAGGATGGCCTAAATGTCTCTATACAGTAGAGGATGGCCTAAATGTTTCTATACAGTAGAGGATTGTCTAAATGTCTATATACAGCAGAGGGTGGCCTAAGTGTCTCTATACAGTAGAGGGTGGCCTAAATGTCTCTATACAGTAGAGGATGGCCTAAATGTCTCTATACAGTAGAGGATGGTCTAAATGTCTCTATACAGTAGAAGGTGGCCTAAATGTCTCTATGCAGTAGAGGATGGTCTAAATGTCTCTATACAGTAGAAGGTGGCCTAAATGTCTCTATACAGTAGAGGATGGTCTAAATGTCTCTATACAGTAGAAGGTGGTCTAAATGTCTCTATGCAGTAGAGGGTGGTTTAAATGTCTCTTATACAGTAGAGGATGGTCTAAATGTCTCTATACAGTAGAGGATGGCCTAAATGTTTCTATACAGTAGAGGATTGTCTAAATGTCTATATACAGTAGAGGGTGGTCTAAGTGTCACTATACAGTAGAGGGTGGCCTAAATGTCTCTATACAGTAGAGGATGGCCGAAATGTCTCTATACAGTAGAGGATGGTCTAAATGTCTCTATACAGTAGAAGGTGGCCTAAATGTCTATGCAGTAGAGGATGGTCTAAATGTCTATACAGTAGAGGGTGGCCTAAATGTCTCTATACAGTAGAGGGTGGCCTAAATGTCTCTATATAGTAGAGGGTGGCCTAAATGTCTCTATACAGTAGAGGATGGTCTAAATGTCTCTATACAGTAGAAGGTGGCCTAAATGTCTCTATGCAGTAGAGGATGGTCTAAATGTCTCTATACAGTAGAGGGTGGCCTAAATGTCTCTATACAGTAGAGGGTGGCCTAAATGTCTCTATACAGTAGAGGGTGGCCTAAATGTCTCTATATAGTAGAGGGTGGCCTAAATGTCTCTATACAGTAAAGGATGGTCTAAATGTCTCTATACAGTAGAAGG